ATGTTGTAACATATGCATGATATTGTATTCAGATTTTCCATCAATATTCCATTCGTAAACGTTGTTGGCATTGAAGCTACTATTATTAAGATCCCTATCTTCTATGGCCAAATCTAAGGCTGTAGAGGGATAAGGTTTGGTTAGACCTTTCCATTGTTTTATGGAGGTGGTCATAATTGGATTAACCTGAAGAGATGGAGGATTGCTAGAATCAGAATCCTGATCCGATCCTTGGTTTATCCATCAATATTCCATTCGTAAACGCTGTTGGCATTGAAGCTACTATTATTAAGATCCCTATCTTCTATGGCCAAATCTAAGGCTGTAGAGGGATAAGGTTTAGTTAGACCTTTCCATTATTTTATGGAGGTGGTCATAATTGGATTAACCTGAAGAGATGGAGGATTGCTAGAATCAGAATCCTGATCCGATCCTTGGTTTAGAACACCTACAGTTCTTGTGGCCATCCTCATTTTAGGTCTAAAAGAGGCTTCTTCAGTAAATTGTCTCATTAAGCCATCACAAAATATTATAAAGAATACTCTTAAAATTATTGCTAAACTATTTGTTAGACACAAGTGTAAAACCCAAGCAAAGGAAGGATTATAGTATAAAAAAAAAAGAGAAAAGTGGATGGACCTTGAACATCAAAAATGAGACTTGGGCAAGCACAAAAAAGAACAAAAGAAACAAAAATAAGAAAAAGGGAACCTTGCTAGACTTGTGGACTTTGGGACAAAAATTTTTCCTACCTTAGCAATGGAGTTATTCTTAGACCTTTGAAAAAACTAGTGTATGGCTGTATGAAACATTAAATCAAACATATTAAGTGCATCATTCCATTTTAAGCCTACTTGCTAAATTCTATTCTAGTGCCATTCTAGAAATTATTCTCTTGTGTGCTTAGCTTTCTTTAATGTGCCTTAATTTTAGTTTTTGAGTCTTTCTTCTATTCTTAAGTTTGTTAGCACAATCTCCACTTGAGTTTAGCCTTTTTAATTGTACTTTTTTAGTTTTTATTCCTTAGCCTCTTGTACTCTTGGGTTTTGGTTCAGATTGGATTTTTTCTCCATCTTTGAGGTGCCAAACAGTAACCAAATTTGTATAATGTTGTCCTATAAGGTCATGTTTGAAGGGATAATCTATGTTTTTCTTAATGGTATAAGCATGGAACCAATCAAGAAATGGTATATTGAGTTTAACACTATTGAGGAAATTATAGTAAATCTCCTGAATCTCAATTCACTTGAAACCTTGATAATTTTTCAAAAACCAAGATCTTTGGGGTTGGTTTTCCTCCAAAGAAAATTCTTTTCGGAGGGTTTCCTTATCAATTTTGAATTCAGATTGTATCCTAATGATCATTAAGGGAAGAGTAAGTTGGAGATTGGATAGACTTTTGGTCATCCTCCTCATTGTATTGGTAAATGGCTCTTGGGATGGCTGAATTTGTTTCTATTCCTCGAAGGTCAGTATTAGGAATAATTATTCTAGGAATAGCAGTTGTATTGGATTGTGATGCTACAGGAAAAGATCTTCTGGTAGAAGTGTATTCAGATCTCGTAGCTTCGATTCTTGAGAAAAAGGAATTTCTCCTATCAAAAATAATCTCTATCTTTCCTGATTTAGACTGCCTAATTTCTTGGAATTCAGGTGTTTATCTAGGTAAGGTAGGGGTTGCTCTTTCTAATTGCCACGAGATTGGAAGTTCTACCTCATCCCACTTTATGAGTTTAGGGACGGCCACATTTGCTTTTGTCATGTCAGTAACAAACAGGATAGTTTCCCTATCATTTGTTTTGAGCAGAACTCTTGAATTACAAGTGTTCATGACTTTGTATTGGATTCTATACAGAAGGGCTGCAGGGATAGATCCTTCTTTCATATTTAATCCATGTAATCTAATATTTAAAAATAATGAATCTAAGACATTCCTATCTAAAAGACTCACTGTTTTATTCAGGAAACAATTAAAGTACACAGGACCATGTCCTAGACTTGTTTTTACGGTTCCTATAAGGGAATCCTGAAAATCATTGTGCCTAATATCTCTAAGACACATTAAGATTGAAGCATTTAGTCCTTCCCTGATTAAGGGTTTAACAACTACTTGAACACAACCTATATGGAGGTATTTATACTTCCTAGCATGCTCAGCAACAGATTGTTTTGTAAGAAGGTGGAACTCCTCACCAGCTTGTGGGTTAAGAGGTATATTGTTTTCTGCAGTCTTAATTATGTGATCAGAACTGCGGACATGTTTGGTTTCATCTGGGATGTATAACTCATCCAGGGGTATTTTGGGAATTTCCTAATTATCAATGGCTTGGTTGATATCTTCAAAGCAAACTTCTTTTTCAAAGATATTGTTTTTGGGGAAACAATATCAGGGAAGGACTAAATGATGACTCCGCATTATAAACTCTAAACCCTAAACCCTAAACCTTAAACATATATATATTTAAAAATTATTTAATATTTTATTTTATTAATTTAAATTAATAAATAATTATAAAATTATTTTATACGTTAATTCGAATATTATGAGAGCGTATACGTCTGCAATGAGTACAAGAAGTGAGTCAGGGTGGCACGCAAGTCATTACGCAGTTAAAGGGATATATTAGTATTAAATATAAATATTATTTTCATTCTCAAAATAACCTAATATTGGGAACTAGAATTACAAAACAAAACACATTAAAAAACAAAACCTTAATTTTTTTTTTTTTTTTTATTTTTTTTTTTGTTTTTTTTTTGTCTTCTCTCTCTCTCAAACGCAAACAATTCCCTTTCGTCTTCGCGGCTAGGTAAGGTTAATCACCTTCCTTCCCCTATATCTTGCCTATCTTTATTTTCTAATTTTTGTTATTCGAATCGTGAGTGAGGGACGATACTTAATTTAAGTTGATTTTGCTTCGCTTTCCACTTGATCCAATACCCATTGCTCTATTCATTCCCAATTTCCACTCTCTCGCAATTCCCCTAATTTTTGCCCCTTCTTTTCTTACACTGCAATTTCGTTTTGTGTTTCGCGTTGCTAAAAAATGTTAGGGCTGGAATCCCTATTTGAATTCTGAGAGCTTTCTGTGCGTCAAGTGCTTCGTGAATCCAATACGACCCACGACTCTCTTTATTTTTCCCATTTCACTATGCTCTTCGTACAAGTGAATTTGGCCTCCGTATTCAACACATTTTGAGCTTTATAATTTTATTTGTTTTGGGTCATGCACTGAAACTCAAACTAGTGTTGTTCTTTGCTGAAATTTTTTCTTTTTAACGGCTGCGCATCCTGTTATGAAAACATTGCATTGTATGCAAATGAGATCATATTTGCCTTTTCTTTTTTCACCTCTCTATTGGTGTGGCTTCTGGTATTTCCTGACATGGTCTGTTTTCGTGTAGCTTTTGTTCACATATGTTTGCTATGGCATATCATTTCCAATGGGGTTTATTTGTCCTTTTACATGTTAATTGTTTTCTTACCTTTGTTTTTGCTTGGGAGCATCTCCATCTGTTTATATCTTGTTTTTTGGTGGATGCTTAGTGTTCTTGTTTATTATACTGAATTCCCGCTCTTGCATCCATGGTGAATGAATGAGGTTTTGTGGGAAATATCGTTGAAATTACTATTTAGGGATGGGAATTTTTTTTAGTTATTGTAGCAATGGAGGGAGGGGATGTATAATGTATTAATTGAAACTAAGGTACCGGGAACTTGAAATTGGATAGGAAAGTCACCCGGTATACAACGAAAATTTGAGAGGGAGAGAAGGTGCTGTGAAAATTTCTCCATCCTTAGAATATAATTGCTTTAGGCTTAAAGCAGTACATAAAAAGTAATGAATTTGAACAGAATTTTTAGTTGTCAACCCTGCAGACTATTGTTGCCGAGTCTCATTTTTCGTGGCTCTGACTTGTGTTGCTGGATCAATGGGTTTACCCATGCCTCCATTTTCCATTTAACGGCGGACTGCTGACTCCATGATGTAATCAGATCTAAGTTTGATTGAATATAGCAAAACCTCCTTGATGGCTTGATTTATGAGAATATAGCAAGTCCTGTATCATCTAGAGAAAAGAAGGGGGAAAGGAAATAAAATGCTGTTTGCAATTTATGAGAATATAGCAAGTCCTGTATCATCTACAGATTGTTAGCTTTTTTCTCTTATATAATAATACATTTAACCTCATGATTCAACCTAAACCAATCCAAAAATGATTGTATTGGTCCGTTTTGCTAATTCATTTCAAGTGCATGGTCCAAGGAGAGTGACGTTGATTCTAGTAATATATTTTGGATCATAATGTTTGAACTTAGTTATATATGTTTTATGTTAGTCATTGCATTGTATGTTTGTTGTTAATTTCAACATGGATTTACATTGATATGCAGATATCATGGCTTTTGGTGATGATGTGCTGCATGACATGTCACATTTTTGTGATTTAATCATTTCACTTTCTTCCTGGCAATGTCCAGTTGATATTTTCTACTTTCTAGTGATGCACAATTTCGTATTCCCCCAAGTAATGGCGCCTCTTTTATATAATATACAAAAAAAAATGATTTTGATATTTTATCAATGCTTGGCCACGTCTTTGCATTTTTTCCCTGTTTGTGACATAGTTCTCATACCCTTTGCCTCCTATATTGATCGAGTAAGTATTTTTCTGGCAATTTTCCACAGGTTTCATTTCTCTTTATGTCAAAAGTTGTTCTACTACTGTATTAGCTGATCAAGAATGGTGATGGGAGCAGCAATCCACCGTAGGTTTCTTCTTCATTTCCACCCTATTCTGAACCGTTGTAATTTAGGTCGTTCAGTTTCTTCACTGCAAAAGCTTGAGCACGCTGTTAGAGTGGAAGTAGAAGCCAAAAACTATGTTAAAATTCCTGACATTCTCATTCCTTTGGAGACCTGCCAAAATTCAAATCCTTTTTCTTTCTTTTCTTCATTTCCTCAGAACTTACAAGTGCAAATTGTTGATGAAATGTTGCAATCTTTTATACCTATCAGACCACGCTCCAAGCCCCAGCTAGCTTATTCCTATCTTCTTTCTTACACCCTTCAAAGCTCCCATCCCTTCCCCCTTGCACTAGCTGTCCTACAACGAACTTTACGTTCTGGTTGCCTTCCTGTTCCTCAGACCCATGTTCTTCTCTCATCTGCTTGGTTGAACTGGCGAGGTCTGTCTCATTCTGTAGCTAATATTCTACTTCAGATGCAATCTATTGGATATCATCCTGACTGTGGGACTTGTAATTATCTACTATCATCTCTCTGTGCTGTTGATCAACTAGTGGAGGCAGTTAAAGTCCTGAGGGCCATGGGTGGGGCAGGATCTATTCCTGATTCAAATAGTTATGGCACTGTAATTGGTGCAATGTGCAGAGGGAGAAAGACTGATGAGGCACTGGTTTTGATGCAGCAAATGGTGGTGCAATATGGTTTAACCCCAGGCCAGGGAACACTGGTGAAATTGTTGGCAGCATTACGTGCAAACAGGGAGATATGGAAGGCTGTTGAGATGATTGAATTCCTGGAGAAAGAGGGTAATTCTGTTGGATTTGAGAGTTATGAGTTAGTGATTGAAGGGTGCTTTTTTTCAAGTGGAAATCACTAAACTTCCTTGTGGTATTCTCAATTCCACAAATTGTTTTCACAAACTTTTAATGATTGATGGTTTTCTCAAATGTTTTTTATTACAACTAAACGTGAGCAATTTAAATTCTACACAGGCTAGTAGATTTAATAAAACAAAGTAAAAAAAATAAGAACAAACAACTTAAAGGAAAACAATATTAAGCAACTAGTCGGATTTTCCCTAAGTGGAAGCTTGAAACATATGAAATTTCCAAGCCACTTCCACTAGTACTACACGTGAGTGACTATAAGAGATTAGTTATACCTGACCAGCTTCTTAATACTCCCTCCAAGCTATTACAAATTGATTGAATTTACAAGAAAAATGCAAGAAATTAAACTAGTCCTAAAAACAAAGTTGTGACGGATTTGGTGTCCAATTTAGTGATGGATTTTTCAACCAAATCTTTCCATCACTTGTTTGAATGCTTTAATCCACCTCCAACCTTGGTCCTTTGATGCTCCTTGAACCTGCATAGTGAACACAACAAATATGTGAAAGAAGGCTGCTCACAAGATGAAAGGATTGATCACTCTTGTGAAGGTAGTTTTAGGAGTTTTAGGTCACCAAATTTAGGTCAAATTTTAAGGCCCTTGTTTTAAAACCCCTTTCCTATCCTTGTTGAGTCAATGTTTGGTTCTTTAGCAAGGATTTGATGCCACTTCCAGCACAGAATTTTTAACAAAGAAAACTTAGACAAGCAACAAAAGCACAATTAATCAAAGTTTATACCAAAATTGAAGGAATAAGTGTTTATGACAAGACTCAAAGAAAGCCAAGGAAATAAAGCAAAAATTAAGACTCAAAACAAGCTAGCACTCAATTAGGAAAGTTCTTAGATAGGTTCTAGAGTAGATTAACAAAACTAAACAAAATTTGGAAGCAATCAAAGAAGAGAAACCAAACTAGTAGTTCAAAGCATTTGATGAAATTTGATTTTTCTTTAATTGTTTTTCCTTCTCGGCTTTTTCTTTTATTTTATGTTATATTTTTTTTAATCCTTTGTTTTGCTGAATTCAAATTGTTTTTCCAGAGAAGATAAATTTCCTTTTACATCAAAAATTTTACAAATCAAATGGACATGAACCGAATCTACTAGAATGATTAATTTCAAGTGAAAATTCAAATTCTAGTGTAGTTTAAGTTGAAAATGTTTTGGATCCTTTTTGATCTTTTTTTTTTCTTTTCTTTTTCAATCTCTTTTGTGTCAATATTCTCTGTTTTTTTCTCAGTTTTCCAGCAATCAAACTTGTCAAATTCGGATCCAATACAATCAATACACTAAAACACAAAGTATCACTTAAAATTTCAAAGAAAAATATGATTGATTCACTATTTTGAAATGGAAGGTGAAATTTGAAAACTCATGTACATAAGAGAATCCTAACTCTAGGAACTCATCAATGATCTAATGATGAATATGAACTCAAAAATGCAAATAGAAAAGCAATCAAGCAAAGCACATACGATTAGAATGAATCTCGGCTAAATTCAAAAAGACTCAAAAAATTTCAGCATATGAACATAAGCACATCTTGAATATTTTTTGACATTTTAAAGGACTAACATGACTTGACAAAACTTAAGATTCAAAAATAAAATCAACACACATGCATACTCAATGAAATAGTCGAATTAAATCAAGGAGATAAGAAATGAATCAATCAAACCAAAAATAAGCACAAGTAGAATGCCTAAATTGTAGTAATTGCCGAATTGAACACAAGTGAAAATCACTAACTTGGATCCATCAAATTTAAGCCAAAAATTTAAATCCAAACAGAAAAACCAATATGAGACATAGGAGAACACAAAAACACAAAAATATTCGGTGGAAAAAGATTACTTAGCTCAAGGAAGTAACCTTGCTCATGATACCACTTGATGGAGTTATGGTTGAAGCAATGGATGGATTCTTGCTTCTTGTGACCTTCTCCGAATATGAAGACCTTTTCCTTGAGCTTGCTACGGATTAAAGGATGGAAGAAGATGAATGGAATGGTAGGAGAACCCCTAAGCTAAGGATGGAAGCATCCAAGCTAAAGATCCAAATGAAAGCTCACTTTCATGCTTAGGAATGGAAGTTTTCCTAAGACTAGGGTTAGTAAGATTTCGGTGACTCTTGGAGAGAATTTGGCTGAAGTAAAAACTCAAAAATTCTCATTAATCAAAAGTGTTTACAATAGTGAAGGAGTCAAGCATTTAAAGCTACGGATCAAAGGAGTCTTTGGAGCCATCACATGTGCACTCAAAAGTGGCCCCAAATTTGAATTTGAATTCAAATTGGACGTCCACTTATCCTAACCCATGTGCAGCCCTTCCTTCTAGATTCTTAATTGCATTTAGAGGTAATTTAGGGTTCATTTGAATGTACACATGTGCAGCCACCTTTGGCACAAAACATGTGACTTAAATGAAACTCTAATTACTCCTAAATGTAATTAACATTCTATGATTCATGCTTTATTACTTAATCCTTCTAAATTCCTATTCTAATGGCATAAATACAATGGCCAAGCAAATACAATGGAAAGGAGAAATTACAAGAATTGAAATGAGCCCAATATTGGGTACCAAAAGCCCAAAGGCCCATGAAGCCCAAAACTAGGCCCAATAAGCCTATAGCCTAAAATACTATCCTAGATGGTCCATAATACAAGACCCAAAATATAGAAAACCTATACTAACATGATATATACAAGATATAAGGAAAATAGCTAAAACCAAATATGGCCCATGAGAAGCTCAACTTGGGCCTTTCAAGCCCCTCGGGCCCATTGGGCCTTGACTGGCCCAAACCTTCATGTCTAGCCCATTCCTCTTGGCTCTTTCAATGTGTCACCCCTTGCCTTCCTAGGCATGATTCCATCACTCCTAAGGTTTTACACTTGAGGTTGGACAAAAGTTCGGTAGATCTATATTTCCATAAAGACGGATCTCCTATAAAATGTTGGGCTATGGTGAAAACTAAGGTATTCATAGCATCTGGAATGGTCTCTCCATTATGGAAGATTGGTTCGCCATTGTCATCAATTTTGACAGCTGAAAAGATTCCTAATTTTTGTGCTTCTGTGAGATAATGATCCCACCGGCCTTTAAGTTGCCCTATAAATCCTGATACTATAATATTAGCTATAGCTTCCTCAAAACTTTCGTGGGCTGTTTGGTAGGCAGCACAAACCATGGTCATATGTTGTAACATATGCATGATATTGTATTCAGATTTTCCATCAATATTCCATTCGTAAATGTTGTTGGCATTGAAGCTACTATTATTAAGATCCCTATCTTCTATGGCCAAATCGAAGGCTGTAGAGGGATAAGGTTTGGTTAGACCTTTCCATTGTTTTATAGAGGTGGTCATAATTGGATTAACCTGAAGAGATGGAGGATTGCTAGAATCAGAATCCTGATCCGATCCTTGGTTTAGAACACCTATAGTTCTTGTGGCAATCCTCATTTTAGGTCTAGAAGAGGCTTCTTCAGTAACTTGGGGAGTATCAGGGGTGGTGGTAGCTTTAAGCAAATTATTAATTTTATTTAATAATTCACTAGCATCAAAATCAATATTGGCTTTTGCTTTAGCCTTTTGCAAAGTGTGTTTTGTCTTTTGACTAAGCTTGAAAGGTTGAAACAGGGGTTTTTCTAAATGTTTTGAACTTGTAGGTTGGATAGATGGTGGCTGGCTTGATTCAAATTTTTGGACAGCTAATTTGTCACCTAAAATCTGGAGGTACTTGTTTGTGTAATTTACCTGTTCCATAATACTTTTAATGTCTTTAGAGGTCAAATTTTCATCTACATCCTTGGTCTTAAAGGGTGCTGCCAGCACAAAATTGTTCTTGTCATCTCGAATTTGAGGGAGTTGATATTGGGTCTTGGGAGGAAGTTCAGATTGGATTTTTTCTCCATCTTTGAGGTGCCAAACAATAACCACATTTGTAGAATGTCCTATAAGGTCATGTTTGAAGGGATAATCTATGTTTTTCTTAATGGTATAAGCATGGAACCAATCAAGAAATGGTATATTGAGTTTAACACTATTGAGAAAATTATAGTAAATCTCCTGAATCTCAGTTCTCTTGAAACCTTGATAATTTTTCAAAAACCAAGATCTTTGGGGTTGGTTTTCCTCCAAAGAAAATTCTTTTCGGAGGGCTTCCTTATCAATTTGGAATTCAGATTGTATCATAATGATCATTAAGGGAAGAGTAAGTTGGAGATTGGATAGACTTTTGGTCATCCTCCTCATTGGATTGGTAAACGGCTCTTGGGATGGATGAATTTGTTTTTGTTCCTCGAAGGTTAGTATTCGGAATAATTATTCTAGGAATAGCAGTTTCACTTGATTGTGATGCTACAAAAAGATATCTTCTGGCATAAGTGTATTCAAATCTCGTAGCTTCGGTTCTTGAGGAAAAGGATTTCTCCTATCAAAAATAATCTCTACCTTTCCTGATTCAGACTGCCTAATTTCTTGCAATTCAGGTGTTTATCTATGTAAGGTAGGGGTTGCTCTTTCTAATTGCCACGAGATTGGAAGTTCTACCTCATCCCACTTTATGAGTTTAGGGACGGCCACATTTGCTTTTGTCATGTCAGTAACAAACAGGATAGTTTCCCTATCATTTGTTTTGAGCAGAACTCTTGAATTACAAGTGTTCATTGTTGGCCCACGTGACCGATACGGTCTCTCCGGTACACATATTATTTAATTTACTCAGGAGCCATGAATCAACTCACCAAAAACTTAGCATTGGAATGGGCAAAGGACAATATTCGTGCAAATGTTGCAGCACCTGGGCCTGTTATGACTAAACTTCTAGAATCTATCATGGTAGATATATGCATTTGTCGATTTATATTTCTTTTATATATCAATAATGAGTATGCATATATATCAAGATTAATTTACTAGTTGCAAAACTTATCTGTATTATTTCCCTTAATCTTGAATGAAAATCACTAGTCATACAAAGCTGAAGGGTACGTGAATTTTATAATTTAGCATTATCAGTATTATACTATTATGCCACCATCAATTGCTTAAGAACTCATATTTATTGCTCTTACAGAATTCTTCTGGAAGGGATGATTTTATCAATGGAGTAGTGTCTCGAACACTTGTTGGTCGCATGGGAGAACCTAAGGAGATATCATCACTTGTTGTTTTTCTTTGTCTTCCAGCTGCATCATACATCACTGGACAAGTTATATGTGCTGATGGGGGTTTCACAACTTAGTTTGTGTTAATGATTTGGATCAAGTTAGAAGGATTTTTAAGAATTTTGCTACCAAAAAAATATTATTTATTATTAGTAGAAAAATTCTCAAAATCTTTTTAATCTGTATCCAAATAGGGTCTTAACTTCTGAATAAAATGTAGATGGTGTTCTTTCTACATCTGGATTGTATTTCCTAGAATAATCATGCTTGATACAAATTACAAGTCATCAATTAGTCCAGACCTCAAATTTGGGTGCTGATTTATTTCAATCATAACTACCCCGAATCCTACAAGTTTCAAGCCATTCAGCAATAAATATGTGAGACTTTAGAATAAATACAAGCTCTAACTGCCAGCTAAACAGTGCTCACAGCTCAAAATTAAGATGAACTTAAAATCAAAGGATTTCAACTTAATAGGGGCAATAATGTCTAGTTTGTATTTTCAAAAGGAAGAATATCAAAATAGCATATAACCTTATATGAATTGACCCCTCCTTTGTAGCACGGAGACTTGAATCATCAGGTGGAAGAAGCTTGCACAATGACAAGGTCTCTTCAAAGTTGTCAGAAGCCGTTAATTGGACTATCTGCAATGAAATATCAAAATCCTTAACTTCCAAAGTAAGTTTAACAATGCGACACAAAATTAAGTACAGACATTATAGTGTAAAAAGAAGTGATGTGATTCAATTGCCCTGCCATTTGCATTAGAATCCAGAAACAGGCGACCACAGTCAAAAAAAAAAAAAAAGACAGCAAATAATTCAACAAAATTAGTATTACCTGGACTCTAAGGGGCACAGGAAAAAGGCCATGAATGAAATTATCCAAAGCAAGTATCACGGAATTATTGCTATGGGAAAGATGGCGAACATTTTGAAGAACAACTGTCTGTATCAGTGGATAAGGAGCTTGAAGAGACCGAATCTGCAAAATAACATAGCATATCAATCAATCCACAACCTCTTGACAACAACAAATATCCAGGAGATTATTTCAGTCAGTTACCTCCACAAATCTAGGTAGCAAAACCATAGCATACGGCTTCTGAATTACAACTTCCAAAGGAGCCTCTGACCAACAAATCCTACCTTCGGGAAGAAGCTTCCCATTTTATTCCATAAAAACCCCAATGTTTTCCTAAAAAACCACATCAGCAAAAACAAATGTGAAATTCCCTCCTCTAACCTAAGAAAACTAGCTATACAAAACACCAAAGTTCACTTGAACATCAAGATATTACACAATGTATTATATCACCACAAATTCATAGAAAAGCACAATACCTTTCCGAGGAGAAGCTCTCCAGAAAGTAGGAGTTGTTGGTTAGAACATCAAAAACAAATAACACTTTCAAAAGGCAAATAACATTGTAATTTCAAGTCAAAACGTTAAAAAAACAAATAATGAACATCCGTATTCCCTTACCTCAAATTTGTAATATTTTTCTTCAAACAATTAAGAGTTAAGAAAGTTAGTGTAAATATAAAAAGAAAAAAAGAAAGAAAGAAGGAGATTTATATACAAAGTACAAACCCCTCAAGGGGTTAGTTTCTACAATAAACTATTTATGCATAGAAACTAATACTACGAATTCTAAAAACGAGCTGTCAAAGTAGAAATTTGAGAAATTAAATAACTAAGAAAATGGAAGCAAATATACCTTATGATCAGTAGACGGCCTCGCCTCCTCTTCCCATCACAGCCCTGCAATCACCGCAATTAGTGACGGCAATCTCTGCCGTCGTGACGACAACGACAACCACCATGGAACCCACCGTCCTAAATGCCGCATTTCCTGCGACCTAGCTGTCCATTTTACGAAAACACCCTTTGCATAACTCCCTCCCAGTCCAATTCCATATGACCCCCACTCCTCTCCACCTCCTCCACCACCAGCCGGTGCAACCGCTCCCAACACGCCTCCGCCACCTGAGCCCCGTCGTGGCCGTCGTACACCGTGAAGACGTCGCACTTCCCTCTCTCCTTCGCCACAAACCCTATCTCCACGCTCATCGTGTCCTCCATCTCCTTCCTGCTCCTTATCAATGACACCGATCCGTGCGACAGAACGCCATCGTTTTGCTTCGTCACAAATTGGCTCACGAAACGATTATGTGAAGCACAAGGTTTCACAGGGCTTTTTGACCAAAGTAGGGTTGTTGATCCAGGTGGAACTCCTCACCAGCTTGTGGGTTAAGAGGTATATTGTTTTCTGCAGTCTTAATTATGTGATCAGAACTGCGGACATGTTTGGTTTCATCTGGGATGTATAACTCATCCAGGGGTATTTTGGGAATTTCCTAATTATCAATGGCTTGGTTGATATCTTCAAAGCAAACTTCTTTTTCAAAGATATTGTTTTTGGGGAAACAATATCAGGGAAGGACTAAATGATGACTCCGCATTATAAACTCTAAACCCTAAACCCTAAACCTTAAACATATATATATTATCTTGATGTAAATGCCCTGAAAAATTGTGTAACTAAAGTAACATGCATTAAAGGTTGATATTTTATGAAGAGTATCATTAAATGACGCTAAAAATAATTGAATTTGTTTATATTTGAGAACCAAATTAAAGTATTTGTTTTTTTTTTCATAAAAATGTTTTTTTTTTCAGAGACGTATATGCTTAAGTACTATTAGAGAGAACAACATATAAAAATCAAAAATAATTTTATCATATTGGGTCAAACATATAGAAATCAAACATGATTGTTTACAAAATTGGAATATTTATACTCAATTTATTAACGCTAAAAATCAACTCGTTGATGTATTTAAAAAACTTCTCCTAAAGATAAACTTATTCATATTTGAGATTATCTTGGTATGAAGTTTATAAAAGATTGAATACTTAATTATTCGGATGTATTAGCAGTCATTAGACATTCATGTTTTGCTTAAAGCATGCATCCAAACACATGTTCATGTTTTCCAAAAAAAAAATTGTTCTTTAAAGTTATTTCTTTAATTGAAATACACCAATAATGTAAATATTTTATTCTTTAAAATTATTTATTTAATTTAAATACACCAATAATGTAAATATTTTTTTTTACATTTTCATCATGATCATTTTTTATTATAATGTTAATTAGTAAATAATCCTTGCAAATGCACGGATTGTTATTGGTTTGAGTATTATTTTCTTTATATCCTATAAAATAAGTATTTATATAAAACATTTATGTTTAATGAGAACAAAAGAATATTATTCTTTGTCTACCTTATCAAAATTGAAAAATCTTAAGTAGGTATAGTGGAGGGGAGGATCAAAAGGACAAAATTAAAATTGTGCATGAATATTCAACATGGATGAAACAACTGCATATAGTAAATAAGGTTTATCCAAAAAAAAATTCTTTGTGGTCAAACTTCGATCCTACATGAACATATTTAATCCTATTTTAAAAAAATAAAATAAAAACTTATCAAAATATGTGACAATAAATACTATTTCTAACAATATCTCCCACTAATAAAAGAATTATGGAAAATTATAAAATCAAGAGAAGGATTCATTAAATAAAATCTATGACTTACATTTTTTTATAATTTTTAATAAATTTTAATTAATAAAAAATACGTTAAATATTTTCTTTTCTCACCGTATAAATTGTGGATATTTTTAGGTGGAGAGGATCCAGCTGCAATTGGTATATAGTATGTCAGCAGTTTTATTTGGGAAAATGCTCTGATAGTGTGACATCGGGGCAGAGGATTTCTAGTTTAAGATATTTATGAAAATTCTGTAATATTATTTTGAAAACAATTTTAGAAACTCTTGTATTTTAGGTTTGATATTTCTATTAATGTGGTGTATTGAATTTTTGTTATGTGAACCCTTTTACCAATTTCAAAAGTTTATTTTCTTTAATTTTGTTACACTATTTCGATATATGTTTTGGGGTAGTAAGGGTGTCACATAAGTTATTTATGTAAATGGGGCTGTTTTGAATTTATTTACGCCTTTGGGGCTGTTTACAACGGTGTCGCTATGGCCTATAGTGACACTCAATGGCTTGGTTGATATCTTCAAAGCAAACTTCTTTTTCAAAGATATTGTTTTTGGGGAAACAATATCAGGGAAGGACTAAATGATGACTCCGCATTATAAACTCTAAACCCTAAACCCTAAACCTTAAACATATATATATTATCTTGATGTAAATGCCCTGAAAAATTGTGTAACTAAAGTAACATGCATTAAAGGTTGATATTTTATGAAGAGTATCATTAAATGACGCTAAAAATAATTGAATTTGTTTATATTTGAGAACCAAATTAAAGTATTTGTTTTTTTTTTCATAAAAATGTTTTTTTTTTCAGAGACGTATATGCTTAAGTACTATTAGAGAGAACAACATATAAAAATCAAAAATAATTTTATCATATTGGGTCAAACATATAGAAATCAAACATGATTGTTTACAAAATTGGAATATTTATACTCAATTTATTAACGCTAAAAATCAACTCGTTGATGTATTTAAAAAACTTCTCCTAAAGATAAACTTATTCATATTTGAGATTATCTTGGTATGAAGTTTATAAAAGATTGAATACTTAATTATTCGGATGTATTAGCAGTCATTAGACATTCATGTTTTGCTTAAAGCATGCATCCAAACACATGTTCATGTTTTCCAAAAAAAAAATTGTTCTTTAAAGTTATTTCTTTAATTGAAATACACCAATAATGTAAATATTTTATTCTTTAAAATTATTTATTTAATTTAAATACACCAATAATGTAAATATTTTTTTTTACATTTTCATCATGATCATTTTTTATTATAATGTTAATTAGTAAATAATCCTTGCAAATGCACGGATTGTTATTGGTTTGAGTATTATTTTCTTTATATCCTATAAAATAAGTATTTATATAAAACATTTATGTTTAATGAGAACAAAAGAATATTATTCTTTGTCTACCTTATCAAAATTGAAAAATCTTAAGTAGGTATAGTGGAGGGGAGGATCAAAAGGACAAAATTAAAATTGTGCATGAATATTCAACATGGATGAAACAACTGCATATAGTAAATAAGGTTTATCCAAAAAAAAATTCTTTGTGGTCAAACTTCGATCCTACATGAACATATTTAATCCTATTTTAAAAAAATAAAATAAAAACTTATCAAAATATGTGACAATAAATACTATTTCTAACAATATCTCCCACTAATAAAAGAATTATGGAAAATTATAAAATCAAGAGAAGGATTCATTAAATAAAATCTATGACTTACATTTTTTTATAATTTTTAATAAATTTTAATTAATAAAAAATACGTTAAATAGTGTCCTCTAACATTTTTCTTTGAAAAACTACAATAGATTTACTTTTATTAATTGAGAATGCATGAAAACTAAACTGAAAAGAAAAATAAAACTTTATCAACCTCTTTATTTTTCATTTGTACTTTTTTGAATGATTTTTGTAATAAATAATATGTACACTAACATTTTAAATAATGTTTGCATTATTATTCAGTTACAAATTATTTCATACGATAAAGTTATTAACTTTTATAGTGATTATCTTAGTGTAGAGTGTAAAAGTGCATATTGTTTTGCACTTTTTTTCAGTTTGCCTAAATATTTATTTATTATTATATAAAGCATTTCATATTTACAAGTATGAATCTTTAGTTATTTAATGCTTATTTTACACGGCTACACAGACTAACTTAGGTAGCAAGATAAGTAGTGATCATTAGGGTTAGTCTAATGGTTGGGTAGGAAGGGGTTGGGATAGTTAGAAACATGAAGACTTAGGTTCAATTCTCATTGCGATCATCTTTATAATCTTTCTTATCTTAAAAAAAAAAGGTAGCAAGATGAGTAAACTACATTTTATATGAATTATATTAATAATAATTATAATGATGATAATAAAATTTTAAATTTAAAATATTACACACATATATATATATAATTTTAACTCTTATTATTAGATTAATTTTAATTGTTAATAAACTATCATTTGTAACACACTATATCATATTAGTTTCTAAATTAAGAATTTTAAAATTTTCTTAAATTTTTCAATGGTTTTATTTAAGTCTTTAAACTTAAGTTACACTTTTATTTTGGTCCTTAAACACACATTGATATTATTATTTAAGTAATACATTTTTTAATTTTTTATTTAGGTGATTGGTGGATTATACTTTTTTTAAGAATTTATTTAAAATTTTCTTAATTTCAAAATAATATTGTGACATGTAATATTGCAAGTTTTAGAGTTGATGTTTTTAAGTAATTTATGTGTTGTTATGATGTTTTGTGTTGAGTGACTTTGAGATCCGAGAATGTCTTATGAATTTATGTGATTTTAAGAATTTCTCTAGACAAACGTCCAAATTGATTTTGAGGGACAAGGTTTATCAGGTTTCTATTCGGGGTACTACCTCATAAGTTCAAGTTCTTATAATTTTAGAGAAAGAAAATTCTAGAGATAGACCACGGTCTATGGACTCTTTCTCCCTTGAATATGCTTTTCTATGAAAATTCTTCTCTTTCTTAGCTGATTTTAGGTTGTTTGTTGTGATTTAGGTTGTGAAAATCTTTAATCTAAATTCATGGCTTCCCTGAAGTGAAAAAAATGCCACGTGTCACCGATGTCGCTATGGGCTATAGCGACACCGTTATAAACAGCCCCAAAGGCGTAAATAAATTCAAAACAACCTCATTTACGTAAATAACTTGGTCAACGACCCCACTTTGGTCAAAAAGCCGGTTTCACAGAGGAAGAAGTTTTCGTAGAGGGTATATCCTAGTTAGGATTTTTTTATTTTGAATTTAAGTTCTTTAATTCTTTTAATAAAAGTAAAAATATACTATAATTAAGTTGTCCATGTGACATAAAAGATTGACAAAATTTGAGCATTATCACGGTTTAAAACCGTCAAAAAATTTAATTATTTTGTAAAAGTTAGGATAACACCTAGAATTACAATATTTTTTAACTGTTTATTAAAATTGTTAAAAAAAACCGTCATTAATTAATTAATTTTTTGTAGTGCTAGTGCAATTTCTTAAATATGAATGCATTAATTGTTGTCACATTTAATCAGTTTATAGTCATTAAGTAATGTTGAACTAGTAGGAGCGACCCCGTAATGTTGTAAGTAACTCATG